TTGGGGTACATGTGAAGAAAATGCAAGATTGTTGCATAGGTACACAATGGCAGTGTGATTTGCTGCCTTCCTCCCCTTCACCTATATCTGGCATTTATCCCCATGCCATCTCTCCCCACTTCCCCTCCCTGTGTCCATGTGTTCTCATTGTTCAACACCCACCTATGAGTGAGAACGTGTGGTGTTTGATTTTCTGCTCTTGTGTCAGTTTGCTGAGAATGATGGTTTCCAGGCTCATCCAAATCCCTACAAAGGACACAAACTCATCAGTTTTGATGGCTGCATAATATTCCATGGTGTATATGTACCACGTTTTCCCTGTCCAGTCTATCATCGATGGGCATTTGGGTTGGTTCCAGGTCTTTGCTATTGTAAACAGTGCTGCAATGAACATTCATGTGCATGTGTCCTTATAGTAGAATGATTTATAATCCTTTGGATATATAACCAGTAATGGGATTGCTGGGTCAAATGGAATTTCTATTTCTAGGTCTTTAAGGAATTGCCACACTGTCTTCCACAATGGTTGAACTAATTTACACTCCCACCAACAGTGTAAAAGTGTTCCTATTTCTCCACATCCTCTCCAGCATCTGTTGTCTCCAGATTTTTTAATAAATCCAATTATTATTAAAAACTCATTTTTACATAACATAGTCCTTAAATTAACCCTTGCTAAGTAATTGACATATGTCAAAATAACTAGCTTAAAGAAACCAAAAAAGTATCTATTCCTACTGAAACTTAAAAATTCCTAAGTGTAAGAAATAATTGTGAGAGTATATTAAATCCACACAGTACTATTAGATGGACCTGAGAAATTGCCGTAAGCCATATTACAGATCTTACTTCGGTTGCTACTGAATCAAATTGATTTCTTGTTACAACAATTTTCATCCTAAAGTTGCTGTTTTTAAAGCCACTGGTATTAGAAATATTCTTTTAGTGCTATATCTATGTACCTACTTACACATTTTTCTCCATAAAAATACTTTATTTCATGATTTGAAGGTTATTTCCTGCTATTATTTCATTACTTATTTTGTTGGTGCTATTGGCTTTTTCTACTTTTTTTTACAAGAAACCTGGAAATTCTGGTTTACTTAAGTAGTCAGAAATTCCTTATGTCTAGATTGCATCATCTCATAGAAACAAATGTCACAAAAGAGAGGAAGAGATACAACTCTGGTTCCTTCATTATATTTGCCAGTCTAATATAAGCTGCTCTAGAGTGTGTAGGGGATAGGAGTGACTGGTGTAGCAGAGACGAATCACTTCTCAAATAACTTTTAAGCTCAGAACTGAAGAATTAAGAGTTATCTCAGAAATGATTGCTTGTAGAGAGAGAATAATAGCATGTACAGAGGCCAGAAGAGACAGTATCCCCACACTGGATGAACCAAAACAGATTTAGGGTGGCTTGAAGATAGAGCACAAGAACAGGGAATGGTAGAGAGAGGTGGTTAATGAGGGGCCTTGTAAGACATGAAATGCCACTTACACTTTATTCCTAAAGAAAATGGGAAACAATGGAAAAGTTTCAATCTGGAAGAATAACATGATTAGGTTTACATTTTATGAGACTCATTCAAATAACATGCCTCAGTTGTCGCTTGTTATACATGGGGGATTGGTTCCAGGACCTCCTCAGATATAAAAATCTTCACACGATTCAAGTCCCACGGTCAACCTTGTGGAACCCGCACATACAAAAAAATTGGCCTTCTGTATGAGGGTTATGCATCCCAATAATATATTTTCATCTACATTTGGTTGCTGATGCAGAACCTGCCAATACAGGGCCAACTAAATTTACTGAAAAACTCCACATATAAGTGGACAGATGGCGTTCAAACCATGATGTTCAAGGGTCAACTGTATTTTGAATTGTTAAAAATTATTGTTTTGGACTTAGTGCCTGCACCTAGGCCCCAACAGACCGACCAAAGCAAAATGGAGTCATTCATGCTAAATGCCATGTAATCAAACTGAAACCTGAAGGAAATAGGTAGATCCCCAGGCTAGTTTTGCCTGAAAACAGGAGATTCCAGTCTATTTGAGCATAATCAAAGAAATCCTCTCTGCTTTAATCCATACAAAGAAGATGTAATCGGAAGTAACCCAAACATAACCAATCAGGATTTTTTTCTATTATTCTGTTTCCTTGTTTCCCATCTTTACAAAACCCACTGTTCTGCCATTACCCAGTGGGAAGTTCATTCTCTTTTATAGAATGAAGGCTGCCTGATTCATGAATCTGGAATAAAAGCCAATTAGATCTGTAACTAATTTGTTGTAATTTTGTCTTTTGCCAGAAAGGCAGATTAGACATAGGAAGTTCTTGGCAATATTGACTAGAATAGATTGTGGACCACAGGAACGTGAATGGAGTTGTGATCTAAGATACTGAGTTGCTATTGGGGTAAGAAAGATAATAAAAGTGGCTCCCGATTTCTTATTTGGACAGCTGTCAATATCATTCACTAAGATAGGGTATATCAGAGTTGATTTTGGATGTGTTAGAGAGTGAAGAGATGAATTCAGATTAGAGCAAATTGAGATTAAGGGGCTTGAGACAACCAAGTGTATTTCAATGTAGGTATGGAACTCTGAAAAGTGATATGGGCTACAAGTATGGATTTGGGAGTCAACAGCAAATAGCTGAAAGTCTACTTTGAATATCAAGCTTTTGTTTTCTCAAAAACTATGTCATAGTATTGACTTCTGGTGAATTGGGCAGTGGGTTCTTTTTGCTTGCTAACACTGCTGCATTCTGTATCTTTGTTTTATGATTTATCCCAGACATCTCACCATATCACTACCCAGAAAAATTCCTTATTTTTGGCTAGACGTGGTGGTTCATGCCGTAATTCCAGCACTTTAGGAGGCCAAGGCGGGTGGATCTCTTGAGCTTAGGCGTTCGAGGCCAGCCTGGGAAACGTGGCTCTCAGTATTAGGGTACTTCTCTATGTATTTCTTTTTGCATGTCTTATAATTTCTGCTTTATGAAAGTTGTTGTTAATTGGTGTGGTACTATAATTTATAAAGTCCTTATGAATTATAATATTTAGAATTATAAAATGTGCTTTTTTGTCTTATTTTCTGGCTTGAATTCTGCCTTGTTTTATTAAGATCAGACTTCTGTCTACTTTCTATTTGTATTGCATGGCATGTCTTTAACCATCCTTTTGTTTTTAACCTTTAAACTATGTTTTAAGTATCTCTTCTATACAACAATAATATAGCATTGGATTTGGTCCGAAATCAAATTTGATTGATTTGATTTCATATACCATTCATATGATAAATGCTATATTATATGAACATCTTTTGATAGGTGAGATAAGCCCATTTATATTTATATATGTGACTGTAAGGACTTAATTCTTCATATTATTCACTCTTTTCTTAAAAAACTCATTTTAATTATGACATTTAGGAAAGTTTGTATCTTTGATACTAGTTGATATATAGTATCTTTGATTTAACTAGTATAACCATAGTATAGTGATCTATAACTATAGTTATACTATCTTTGGACCCCATTGCTTTACAGTATCTCCTCCTCATCTATGAATTAAAAAATTAGCTTGTACATATTCTTCTCCATCTCCCACTACCCAATTTAAGGTAATATTATCCTCTTGTACTGTTAAGTATATTTAAACTTCTACTACTTGTCACTTTTAAACTGTATCTTTTGAATTCTAACTATATGAAGCTCTATTCTACGATTCTACCATTTCTCCTCTTCTCATTTTTGTTAGATGCATTATTTTTATCAGATATAAAACATTTAGATAGTATTGTCACACTTATGCCACCATTGTCTTAGTTCTATCATTAAATTTATTCAATGCTCAAGGCCAGTCCTTTTGTTGGCATTTCCCAATCATCACGTGGTTCACTGAAGCTTGTCCTCATACCTGATTAACCGTTTAGGCACTAGAGAACTTAACATTCAAAGTCAGACAAAATTAGGGAGCCCTCAATCTAGGGCACCAATCCCAGGTAGGAGCACCACCATCTCCTTGGCATAGAAACCCAACTTATTCAGACTTACTTCAGCATTTGGGGGCAAGTTCTACAACTACACAAATAGGAGGAGAAAATGAGATGGGGAAAACTGTTCAGCTGTTTATCCCAGTAAATCTGCTTGATTTCTTTCCACTTTTGTTCTTCTTACCTACTTCTGTCCTTATGTACTGATTTTCTCCATAGCTATCCTGTGAAGAATGGGCTCACATCTCCACATCAGGCTTCGTGAATGCATGATT